TCGAAGCAAAGCTAAAATATCACCAAATAATTGAGTCCCTTCCCTCTTCATTTGTATCTCTTGGAGCGAACTTTGTAGTCTTTTACTGGCTTTTTTAAAGTATTCTTCAGAACACATCGACTGGATTTAGCTCGCCCACATAGAATTGACATTAGGTAACCAGGAAGAATCTGCACCCACATGACGCATGGGAAAAAAATGGAAAATGAGAATTCATTCGCACTGCCCCATTTCCTGTCCCCAATCCCAACGCGTTCCTATGCTTTGAGTATTTGTTAAACCTAAAAAATTCAAGAACTTCATGGCTCTATTGCTCGGCTGGTTTTGAGGGCCCCTATGACATATAGGGCTTCGATTCATTGGTTCCGTCGCGGTGCTCCATAGCAATAACTCACCGTAGGACTTCCATGGCTCCCCTGGGCTTTTGCAAGACTTTCAATGCGTCACGTATAAGGAGGGATTGGGCTGAGTATTAAAACGATGGGACAGGACCGTCTTCAACCGCGAAGGTAGAGAATCGGCGTTGTTATCTTCTATGTAACTCACTCCCCTCCCCCTTTCGAATAGTCATGTCTCTTCAGAAATTTGGAGGGAAGACGGAAGAGCTTGGCATCTTACATTGCTGGAACACTGCTAACGGACATGAGAAAACTTCATAAAAAAGACAGCACAGTTTGACATAGCCTTGGCATTTTGTTCTGTTCATAGACTTGAATTACTGGACAAGGTAAATGCGTGGAACTCGGGGAATAATTTTCCAGCGTACTTCGACTTCTGTGTGAATACAGCTGGGGGCATCCCATCGAGCGCATACATACTACTAGCGTTTTCCGTCGGCGATTTTCGTGGATCTATACCAGGAAATAGCACGCTCGCGAGAGACACCCAGACGGCTAGACACACATGCGGGTTAGTATAGAAAATGCAATCGTAGCTCTCGTTTTTTTCTTTAGAAAACAATAACTTTCCCTTCTGCTAGGTTACCTGACTAGACAGAAGTTCACGCTTCCCTCCC